AATCCGGATCCAGCAGGCTAGTTGTAAGCACAGGCATAATCACAGCTGGAAGGGACGCCAGGAGGGGAAGCCCCCGCGCCTGTGATTTGCTCGCTTTCCCAGGGCAAGCCTTGCCGGGGCGGGGGGGGGGGGGGGGGGACAGCGCGCCTCCCCCGCACAGCTCGGGGCTTTCTTCGGCGCGCACGCGCGACGCTACCGCGGAAGAGGCCCGAGAGTGGAGGGCGGCCCCAGCCCAGCCCCCCCACCCCCGCAGCACCCAGCGCCTCGCCCGGGCAGTTTCCAGCGGCGCTTGCTTAATGAGCTCCTCGGGGACCGTCAGGCGGAAGACCGACAGCGGTTCACCGGGACGGGCTCATTAAGGGGGCCGCGAGGCCGCGCCGTTATTGCTTGTCAGGGAGGCGCGGGGGGGGGGGAGCTGTCAGCAGGAGGGGCGGGCGAACTGTGGCGAGGCGCGAACCGGGGACGCCATGGCAGCCCCGGCACCCCGACCGCTCGGCCCAGAACCCGGACCCCTTCCTTCGAGGCGGCAGGTCGGGAGGAGGCAGCGAGGAGCCCACCACGGCGGGGGGATGAGAAATGGCCCGGCCCAGCCTGGCAAGCCGAGCCGTCCTCGGTGCCAGCGGGGGCAGCTCGTCCCTGGAAGGCCGTGCCCGTGCCAGCGGCGGCCGCGGGGCGCGTGCCAGCGAGCACTCGGCGGAGGCGCCTGCCGCGGGGAGGGCCCTCCAGGAGCTCTGGGCACGCCGAGAAGGACGGGGTCCCTGCTGGGGGTGGCGGGGCCGCTCTCCAGGCGGCGAGTGGACGCAACTGCCGCCTGCCCCAGGCCGCCTTCCTCGCCTCCCCTCTTCCCCACGCTGCATGAGGGAGGCGAGCAAGCGCTGCTGCGGGGCGGGGGCGGGCGGGAGAGGCAGGCGGGCTCGCCTCGCCCGCGGAGGGTCGCAGCCACTTCCCGGCCGGTCCCTTCGGTGACCGGCCTCGCCACGCGCTGCGCCTTGACAGGCAGGGAGGCCCGAAGGGTCCCCCTCCCGGAGCCCGCAAGCTGCCGCCCCCCGCTTGCCGACACCACCCGGGCCGCGGGGCAGCAGCCCCAGCGGTGCCCCGCCCGCCGCAGAGCCCTTCCCCGAGCGGCGGGCGCGCCCCCAGGGAGGCCCAAGCGGACGTCGTTGCCCCCGAGCTCTCGCGCTCGCCCTCCCGAGCCCCGGGCCCGGCACTTCGCGGCGCGGCCCGAGTCCTCGAGGCGGGGGCGCAGAGCGGAGCAGGCGAGACGGCCCCGCCCCACGGCCTGGAGCCGCGCTAATGGGGCTGATTTGATCAGGCCCGGCTAATGCGAAGCAGCAGCCCTTCCTGGCGGGGCTGGCTAAGCGCGGCAATCCGGATCTCAACCGCCGCCTGGGGAGGCAGCGAGCGCGAGGGGGCGGGGAGGGAGCAGGCCGAGGCCCCGGGGGAGCGGCGGGGGCGGCGACCCCATCCGGCCAGCACGGCCGCCTCGTGCCAGCTAGGTAGGGCACCGAGCCGGGGGGGGGGGCGCCCTCCGGTCTTGGGGGCGCGCGGGTGCTCCCGACGGAGGCCTGGAGATCGGAGGGCGCAGTCTAGCGGCGACCCGGACGGGTTCTCCCCCCGCCCCCCCGGGACACAAGCTTTGACCGACTGAGGAGATACTTCCTCTCCGCCTTCCACAGGGTTCTCCGCTGCTGCACGGCGTCCTCCTCCGGCATGGAGCACGACCCCAGCCGGGCAGAGGCTCCTGCGGGGTCGGGAAAGGTACGCACAAGCCGCCCCGGAATCCTCGTTTCTTGAAAGGGCAGCCCTGCCCTGCCCTGCCCTGCCCTCCGCCCACTGAGTCGGGGAACCTCGGCAAGACGCCCGGCCACGTTCCCCTTCCCTGGCGGCAAGGCGCGAGATCGCCCCGCGGGGAGCCTCTGCCCGGGCGCCGGTCCTGCTCATGCCGCTTCAAGGTGTTTCTGGACCGTTTCCCAGGCAAAAGCCCCGTATTGACCTCCCGGTGGCGCCCCCGCCAGGAATCCTAGGGCCGGGGGAATCCCAGCGCCCGGGGGAAGGAGAGCGGGCTGGCTGCAGCACCTCCGGGCTCGGGCGCCGCACGCGAGGCCAGGCCTTTCTGCTCCCACCTGCAGCCGCGGCCCGATCCTGCTCGCCTTGAGCGGCCGCCGCCCGCCCCCCCCCCCCGCCCCCGCGCCGGCCAAACCCAAACCACCAAGCTGCCCTTCCTGGCTGCCCGGCCCTGGCACGCTCCCGCAAGGCTTTCCGTCCGCCGGACTGCGCGCTCTTGCCCCGCGCCAAAGCGCCTCTAACGTGGACTAGTCGCGGGGAGAGCGGGTTTCTTGCGGAGCCCAGCATTCTGCCCCGGGGGCGAGCAGTGAACCCCACCGAATTCAGGCAAGGCAGACGCCTGGGAAAGAACCATCCCAGCGAACATGGACAGAACTTACACAGAGCGCTGCCCGAACCCGGCGCCGGCCGGCCTGGCGGGCGAGACTTGCTGGCGGGGCCTCCCGCACCTCCTGCGCCTCGAGCAGGCAGCACTGGGTAGAGGCCTCAGCGAGGGGCCTCCTTCGTCGGGCTTTGCCTTAGGAAGCCTTAGAATCCTCCCTCCGGCTCCTACCGGCACCCGGCCATGGAAGGGTGCAGGTGCGGCTGAGAATCCCCCTCTGCGCCCAGCCAGAGGAACCTTCCTTCTGCCTGCCCTGCCCTGTCCCTTGGGGGCAGCATGTGGGCAGTTTCGCCCTCGCCGCCACGCCGTCCTCCTTCCATTCTGCCTGCAGAGGCATGGACTTGCTCCTCCTGCACCTGCACCCCGCGAACCTTTCCCGGCCGGTACCGCAGCGGGAAGCACAGAGGCTGCGCGGGGCTTTGGGCAGGCTAAGAGCACTGGGACGGGGAGGTCGCCTGAGCACCTACAGCGGCCCCGCTTGGGTTCCTTCCCCACTGACCTGGGAAGGAGTAGGGAGCCCCCAGCCTCGCAAGAAGGGGCAGTGGCAGAAGGGGGGCGCTGGGGCTGGCTGCAGGTCTCCTGGCAGAGCCACTGCACGTGTGTGGGAGGCCTGTCTCGCCTCTCTGAGTAACACTAACCAGCTCGGCATGGTCCTGATTAAGGAATCTGGTCGCTGTCACCGTTTGGCAGGGCCTCGTGTGTGTTGGGAGGACTTTGCCGGCTTCTCCTGTGAATCTGAGTTACCAGTTTCAAAGAAGCCCCATCCATGACTGCACAGCCGCGGGAGGACAAGTAGGCCCTTTCCTCTGGCTGGCCTCCAAGCATGGCTATCCAGAACATTCCCCGTGCCCATCAGAAGCTCACAGCCGGGCAGAGGAAATAGCCCCCCCCACCTCCCTCGCCTCCAGCCCGAGCACGCTCGCTGTCTTTCTTCACACGTCCCCAGTCTCCATGGAGCCACTTGACGTCATCTCGGGTGGCTCACGCTGAACAGTGTTGCCTCAGGAGCTCTGCCAGGAGGCCCGGCTCCCGGTTTGCTTCTGGGCCAAGCGTCTTAGCGTAAAATCAGGTTTCCCAACAGCCAGGATGAACATGCTGGGCCTGGTGGGGAGGCAGCTCCAGGGAGGCCCCTGAAGGGACTTCGGCGACTCCAACACAGTTTCCTGCCCGGGGTATCAGAGAGCCAGTGCAGTTCAGAGGCCAAAGGTCAACATCTAAGTGGGGCCGCCTAGGCAGAGAGGGTAGTCCAGGGGCAGAAGGGACCTGTCAGCAGCCCTCGGGGCAGCTGTGAACTGGGCGAGAGCCAGTGAGCCCCTCGCAGGGCGGCATGTGGTGCCAATTCGGCAGTGAGCGGGGGGCTTTTGGGGGAAGGCGGCAGCAGGGACAGCCCTGCCTGAACGGGGCCTGCTAGGAAAGGTCCTCTGACCATGGCAATCATCTGGACAACTTCCTGTGTACTGTGGATTACAGGTTGGCATTCCCATGCGTCGATTATTTCAGGGTGTTTCTCAATGCTGTCTGTATTGTACAGCTTAGATATAGAATAACAAATGGCTGGTTTAGGTACGATAATGGCTCATTTGTTAACTCTAAGGGACTCTCAGCATTGACGTCCTCTGTGGTTTTGTCCTGCATCTCTTTGCGCACAAAGACGAAGCTCGTGAGCCTGGTATCAGCCGATCTATGGTTTTTGCTGGAACAGACACCAGGATGGTTTCAGCTCCGGCCAGTGACATGGGGAGACCAGGCTGGAGGGGAAGGGGGCTGTCCAAGGACTAGAGGAAGGTGGGGTGCATCAGCTGCTGGCAATCCACTAGACCACTTACCTCAACAATCTTTCACACGCCTAATATTGAGATTGTTTGTTGGAATAACATAGAACTGTTTAAATGGTTTTACAGTTAATACATTAAAATGAGACTATGCTCCGTAATAAAGCTTTATCGTGTAATGTTGTGCTTCATAATTTCAGTGAATTGTTGTGAACTGGAAACTGGTTACTCAGGGGCACAGACAGGACATTGTCCAACGACAATAATGCAACGAACAGTAGCCGGTCGCAGACGAGCTATGCGCCACGGATGACACGGGCATCCAGGGACCGGGCAGCACGCCAGCGCCCTGCGGGGGGATCGCAGCGAGCCTCCGTGTGGGGCAGGAGAGCCCCTTCCAGGCAGCCGTCCCGGGGCCCGGGGGCTCCTCGGAGTCCGTCCCTGGACTGGCGGGGATGCCCCGCCTCGGCCGCCGCGCCAGCTCGGAGGCGGAGCCGCTCTTCCTCCGCCACGCCAGCCGGCCAGAGGCGCCGCTTCGGAAAGCGGCCGCGGAGGCAGGCGCGGGAGGGGAGGCGCCGCGGCCGCGGGCAGAGGCCGCGCTCGGGGGCGGCACAGCCGGGCGACCGGCGCGGCAGGCTCCACGCACCGCCCGGCGGGCCTCCAAGTCCCGCTGGCTCCGCGAGCCCCGCCGGAGGGATGCTCGGGCCGCCGCCGGGCCGCGGGCCTGCTGCATCATGGGAGCCGTAGTTGCTGTGGCGACAGGCCCCGCCCCTCTTCGACCCCGGAAGTGGGTGCTGCGACTCCAAGATGGCGTCTCCTCCTCAGGGGGGCCCGATGGCGATCGCGATGCGGCTTCGGAACCAGCTCCAGGCCGTCTACAAGATGGACCCGCTCCGGAACGAGGTGAGGCGGCGGCGGCGGCCACCGCTGCCCAGGACCCGGGCTCGGCCCGAGCCGGCGCGGGCCCCGCCCCACCCCTCGCAGCCGCCCGAGGCGGAGGGAGGGGGAGCGCGTGCGCGGTGACGAGTCGCGCCTGGCCCGGGTGGTGCGCGTGCGCATTGCAGGGCCGGCGGACGGACGGGAAGCCCAGCCCCGCCCCTGCTGATTAAATAGGGGACCGGCGCGCGGAACAACTCCGCGCGAGGCCGAGCGGCGTCGGCCCCTCCCGCTCCCCGAAGCCCTCGAGCGCGTGGCCGTCGCGGTCTCGCTCGCCTGCCTCCGCAACTACAGCTCCCAGCATTCCTGCCAGCGCTGGCCGGGGTGGCTGCGTGCCTCTGGAGGGGGCTGCCTCGCGGACCCT